AATTCCAGCTAAAGAATTAACACCGTTAATAAATTCAGTGCTTTGAAAGTCCATATTATCTAGCGAATTCACAGGCACAACTTTGGGTGCACTTTCTTGATTCTGTGACAAAATTTCAGAAATTTGTTTTCGATATTTCAAAGAATCATCGTTGTATTCTAATCTCACTGCAAATGATAAAAGCCATCCTAATTCTTCTTCTCGCTTCTTACTAACGATGGGACAAACAATATCATTTAAATAAGTTGTGTAGGCGGTATTCCAATCAGGGGAATTCAAATCTCTTAATTTGCTTCTATCGTCCACCTTGTAATGTCGAATTTTTTGATCTTCCAACCACAAAATCAAACTCCTAAATTCATTATTATCTATAATATAAAAGGATTTAATTTAAAAAATTTAAATGAAGTTTTAAAGTAAGGAAATTTTCTGATTAAATTTCAACATCTTACTGTTAATGTCGAATTTATCAGGGGTTGGATAATCTAATGCAAGTAATTTTCTTTTAAACATTCCGTTACAAAAAAAAGAAAAAAAAAAAATTCAAGAGAAACTAGCACAATTGTTTTTTTTTATATTACTTATTTAAACCTTGCAACCGAACTTGAAAAATTTCCATCCAATCAATTTTTTTTTTTTAATTTTTTTTTTTTTTTTTCAACAGTTGCCGAAATGTTTTAACAAGATGACAACAAAAAAGTTTATTTGATTCATACATAAAAAAAAAAAAAAAAAAAAAAAAAAAAAAAATATTTTAAATTAGCGGGGAAAATTAATTGTATTTTTTTTTTTTCTTTTTTATAAAATTTTAATAGTTGGAAATAATTTTTTGTTGAAATAATTAAATGAAAAAATTATAATTTGTATTAATACGACAAATGTAGTATGAGAGAAATTTATTCAACCCCTCGTAACTCATTGTTTTTAATAAATTTTTCCTAGTTACCACAGAAATAAACACTCCATACAAGTAAGAATGAAAATTTGAAAAAAAAGTTAATACGTGCGTCATAATGAAAAATTTTAAAAATTTTTTTACTTTTTTTTTTTTTGAAATTTTTTTTTGTTAAAAAAAAAAAAAATGTGCTACGTATACAAATTATATACGACACTACCTTTTCATTTTAAAATTATAAAAATTTAAAGGATTCTAAAAATATATATAAACATATATAAATATATATATTGCGTTCAATAGTTCTTTTTTTTTTTTTTTTTTTTTCTTTTTGTCTTACGTTATAAGTTTATTAACTTATTATTATTATTATTATGGTTATTTTTTTTTTTTTTGGAAAAATGAATTATTAAAAAAAAAATTGTCTACGATAATTAATTATGAGAAAAAAAAAATTAAAAGTTCTCGTAATTGGTGAAAAGTTGTTATGACATGCAACGAAGCAATAGTAATAAAAATAGTAAAGTTTTTTTTTATTATTTTAATATGAATTTTTTTTTTTAAAAATTTAATTATAAAATCACGATTGATAATAAAACTAATTTATGTAATAAAAATTTTTCAGTTTGTAATGCCGGAAAGAATGCTTCTCAACAATTTGTGGATATACACATGCGAAATCATAATAGGAGAATCAAATATGCTAAAAAAGTAGTCGACACTTCTCCTCCTCTATCGTATAAATTTATAAAACCACGTTGTATCACACCGATCGGTTATAATTATAAATCGAAGCAGCCATTTTTATTAAGAAATGTTAGTCCGCCATTAACGGACAGAAGTATATCAACTAATTCGAATAAAGAGTCGTTTAGAGAAGGACAACATATTTCGAATAGCCGTTATCACACGAATTGCATGGAAGACTCTTCAGGCGTGGATACCTCAAAGAAACATCATCTTTATTACGATAAAAATTTAGTCGATCGTATTACATACGATACAAAAAATAGGCCATCATCATATTGGTAATGTTTTCATTGAAAATGTTTTTAATCACCTTTTGATTAATAATTATAATTTTTTTAAATTTAATTTTCAGCAATTGTTATTTTGATGAAAATCAAGGGCCGGCAAAAATAATTATTGATAAACCACCGATGCAGTTAAAAAAAAGTAAAATAAACGTTTGTGATCACAAAATTTCAAAAATTCATCTTCCTCACAATAAGGAAAATGTAATACATCAACCAGAACATTTACCGGTAAAGTATTAATTATTATTATTATTATTACATAATTTTAACGAATCGAATTTAACTTTGTTAAAAGCCGATATAGAATTTTATTTTAGATAAATAAATTTATTTCAACAGGGTGTAAATTTATGATATTTGATAATATTGTTAGTTTTTTTTTTTTTTTTTTTTTTTAATTTTCCGTTTCTAAAAATTATAAAAGAAAAAAAAAAAAAAAACAAAACTTGTAAATTTTTTTATATATTTTGCTGCTCGGACAGCGCAAAACTGTTTTCAAGGATATGTTAAATAATTATCATCCATGTTTCAATCCAACAAAATCAAATTTCAAACCAAAAATACTTAAAACTAATATCAAGTCAAAACTACGATGTTTAAGGGTTTATCATCCTCCTCGAAAAAGGATTATGGTTTGTATTATTCAATTTAAAATCATTTTTTTTTTTTTTTAAAACAATTCAAAGTTCAATTAATTAAATAATCCATATTAAAAAAAAAAAAAATTCATAATTCATACCAAAAACAACAAAAAAAAAAAAATGACAATTTTTTAATAATTAATTTATTTTTATTCTTTTTTTTTTTTTTTTTTTTTTTACAGAACAAATGTAAAGAAAAATTAGAAAAAACTGGGCATTTATGTGATTTTGTAAATAAAACGACGATTTGTAAATGTAAAAATAAAAAAATGGGGACTTTTGATAACAATAAATTATATATAAAAAAAGATGCAGAACACGTTCAAACATCGAGTAGGGATTCGGCATATAATGGAGGAATATCATCCCTTCCAGAGAGTAGAAGTGTCACTCCTGATTCCAGACCAAAAAAAAATGTTGTTTCTTATTCTATTGAAATACCCAACGATGATAATAAAACTGGTCCCGCCGATAATTCAGATATAAACGAATACGTTGAAGAAGATATTAAAAATCCACAAAATTCTGAAATGAGTTCGAGTAGTAGAAATGATACTCCAAGGGATAACGAAACTAAAACTCTTCGTATTTATCATAAATCAAAGGATGAAGAAAATGAAAAAATGAGGTAGAAAAAAAAAAATACTCGAGTGAAAATAATAAAAAAATCCTCTGATATAAAATTTTTAAAATTTTAGAAATTTAAGAGAAGATGAAAAATACGTTAAATTTATACAAGATATAACTGATGAAATATTAGAAAAACATTTATATACAAATAAGTCGCTTAAAAAAGTTATGAAAAGACACATAATAAAAAATTTAAAAAATTTAGATAAGGTAAAACTTTTCTTTTTTTTTTTTTTTCTCTTTTGTTTTGCATTCAATCGGTTTATTTATTATTATTATTATTATTTTTTTTTTTTCCAGAATCGTATGTTTTCGGAAGTAAACATTCTAAGAATTCAAATTGGAATTCCAGAAGATGAATCTTTTTACGTTTTGGATTTGCCGGAAAATGAAAGTTCTACGGATTTAATACAACCAAATTATTTCATATCAGATTCCGAATTCGAATTACCAAATAATAATAATAATATTTATCATAAACGTAAACATAATCCTAATCCTAATAATAATAATAATAATAGTAATAATGGTGATACAGATAATGAAATGAAAAATAAAGGGGAAAAAAAAAATCATGAATCTGAAAAAAGAAATGTCGACACCGATAGTTCTCCCGAGGAACACCATCAGAAATTAATTTCCAGTTCAAAATCAGACAAAGACGTATCAATTATTGATACCAGTAATAAATATGATAAAAATAATAACAACAAGGATACTTTGAGGAGGTATACAATTGCAGTGAATTGCTCGACAAGTGAAAAATTGAATTATAATAAAACAATTAATAAAAAAACAAATGATGGCGTTATAAATAAAATCAGCGAATCCTCGTCTGAATCTTCATCAGAAATCGAAGAACAACAAACATTTGTAAATGATAATAATAATAAAATTGTTGATAAAAAATATTCTAAAAAAACCGCCGATAAAAATGATGGTAATAATGTTGATAACGATACGTTTTTTTTTGCAATTGATCAAAGAAAATCACGTTATATTAGCTTTCGAAATAAAATAAATAATAATCCATTGAATAATGAAAAAAAGGAACGAGGGGAAAAACCTAAATTAAAAAGAGATAAAGATAATCAGGAATAAAAAAAAAAATCTATTTTATAGGATAGAAATAATTCTTTTCTTTTTTTTTAAATTTTAAATTTTTAATCGCCTTCTTTCGTCCTAACTTACGACTAACTATTTATTTAATTTTTTTTTTTTTAAAACTTTAATAATTATTTATTTATCGGCATTATTATTTTAATTATGAAATCAGCACACATTTACCTCCTTTTTTTGATTTTTTTCAAAAAAAAAAGGAGGTTTTTATTTGTGTGTGTGTGTGTGATTATTTTAATTACTAATAATTACCTTATAATTATTTAGGTAAATAATAATAATAACATTTTCTTATTTTATTATTAACGTTTATAGAATTAAATAAAAAAAATATTTTGTTTTTATTTAAAAAAAAAAACAATTACAATTTTAAATTTTTCTCATAATTTATTTTATCAACATCATTATTATTATTATTTTTTTAACACACTTACATAAATAATTAATATTTTCTGATTTATATTAATTTTTTTTTTGTATTGTTATTGTTATTGTGCTTTCTTTTTTATATTGATTCATGTTTATTATTTTTCTTTTTTTTTTTTTTAAGGATCTACTAAACGTTAATAAAAAAAAGATTCTTAATAATTTATTTATTTATTTATATATATTAAAGCTCGAGTTTTGTCATATTAAAATACTTTTTAATGAGTTAATTAATAATAATAATAATTATTTAGTTATATTTATATACAAAAGGTCATGTTTTTGTGTGTGTGTTTAACAATCGTGATTAAAATAAATATATATAATTAATGCTTTTGCGAAGGTTTGCAGTGCTTAAAATTTAAATTTTATTTATTTATTCAATGTTTTAATTATTTACATAAAGTTCAAGTTTAAAAAAAAAAAAAAAAAACAAGAGTTATACGCTTTTTGCATGACGATGCCTTGAATAATTTTTTCCAGATGGATTTTCTTGAAAATAATCTTGTTCATGGATCGGATGAGCATTTTTTATTATAAGTGTTATATGAAATTTTTTGCTTTCCTCCGGATAAACTTTTGGAAGTTCAATAATCTGTTAAATAAATTACAAAATTCGTTAATGATTAATTTTAAATAAAAAAAAAATCATATTAAAGCGAGTAATAAATTACTTGTGTTTTATTTCCTTGTGATAATTCTAATATTGTATTATTATTTAAATTTTTTTCTCTGTACGATATTTTATTCCTCTTGTTCTCTTGTATCCGTGGTAAAAAACTTTCTTTTCTTTGTTTGCTCTGCCGCACCGATGCAACTTTCGGAAACAAAACATTATTATTATTATTATTTAGGGATATAATATGTAAATTATTAATTGTATATACTAACGATAAGCAGAACATGGTAATGTAGTGTAGGCACGAGTGGTATGATGACATCTTTGAGTTATGCAAGAACACAAAGGTTCGTATCCGTATCCTTCATTTAATATTTGAAAACGTGATTTTTTCAATATGTTCGATAACGTATCAATATCGTCGTAAGATTTTATTTGTCTTATAATTGTATGACCTCTGTTTAGTAATCTCAATTGATCTGCGGACATATACGTGTTTCAATGCATCATTTCCTTTTTTTTTTCAATAAAAAACATGTTTAAAAAAAAAAGAAACTAACCGTATAAAAATTTTTCAAATTCTTTAAAAGTGTAGGTACCCGTATAATGTCTCATACCCAATGTTGCACAGAGTCTTTCATATTCGTCAATTAATCTTTTTACAAGTACTTGTTCGTTTGCTCTTCCAGCTCTGATTTGCATTCTTTTTAATTCTAACAATTGATGAAATATACCTCTTTCCAAATGATATCTAAATTTTACAAGAAAAAAAATTAATTTTTACAATCATTTCTAAAATTAAAAAAAAATCTACCTGTTACTTACTTCCTGATGGTACCTTGAACGAGTTGAGTTACCGAAATGTTATTCCCTTCTTTGTAATTTTTATTTTTCCTACATAATCTCGATACCTTATGAGTTTTATTACGTTTTTTATTAATTTCATTATCAATTTTTTCAATTTTATTATTTTCTTCGTTAAAACTTAATTCCTCCGATGGTGAAATCGGCCTTCCAGAATCGTTAAAATAATTTTCTTCGACATCATTAATGTCGCTATCGTACCTAAATTAATCGTAAAATATAAATAAATAAATATTTTTTTACTTAAAACTTAAATAAAAAGTTTTACAACCTTTCTATTTTTTCTTCTTCGTTTTCAAATATTAAATTATTATTTTCATTTTGATCGTTTTCCTTTCCAAGTAAAACCTCAGTATCAATTTTATTTTTTCCATTATTATTATTATTATCATCATCATTATTAACAATTGTAATTTTATCATTATCGTCAAGTGTGTCGTTGTCGCCATCAATTTTAGTATCGATAATTTCGATTGTATCAGGTTCAGAAAATGTTTTATTATTTTTTTCTGGAACGGATATACTAATAAATATCAAAAACCTGTGACATGTAGTCAATAAAATAAATAAGCGTTTTATTTGAAAGCAAAAATAAATTTTTTTTTTTTTAAAAACAATTGTGAATAAAATTTTATGCAATTTTGAATGCAGAAATTTGTCCCTTTAAATTCATTTTTAAATCAAATGAGTACCTAATTCATTATCCGATTTTATTTCAGGTTTTTTATCGTCTTCAATTTTTGTGATTTTATCATTATTTTCTTTTCCATCATTTTTTTTATTTTCCTTATCGAGAGCCTTAAGCAATTCATCATTTTTAATTTCAATCGAAACTTTTTCTATTATTTCATCCGATGTACCTTCTTTCGAATGAGTATTTTTCGGAACGGTAACCATTTCGATTTTTTCTTCTATTATAATTTCCCGGGGTTTCTCTTCGGTAACCAATAAATCATCATTACTAACTAAATTTGAAACTTGATTTTCAACTTCCTCTTTAATTTCCGTCACGTTATCATTTTCTTTGTTCACCACGGGTAAAATATTTTCTGCAGGTATAATTTCCCGATCGGTACCTTTATCATCTAAAATTTCATCGATTGTTTTTACAGTTATAATATTCAAGGTTTGAGAAACATTTGAATCGTCCAATTTATTTTTTAAATCTATTTCCGGGAGATTTTCGTCGGGTTTTTCATTTACTTCCGGTGCACTAATATTTTTATCATCAGTCACTTCAATTACTTCAGTATTTTTACTTTCCTCATGAAGTGATACTTCGCTGTTTAAATTTTCACTTGCATCATCAGTTTCCTTTGTTTTTTCTTCAGTGTTTTCATTGTTTACCTCAGGGCTTCCGTCATCGGAATGTTTTTCCGATGTATCAGGTATTTTTTCTTGTTCAACCAAAGAATTTTCTTCTTTCTTTATAATTTTTTCCTGCGATGAACTTTCCGTTGATTTTTTTTCACGATGAGTTGTTTTTAAATTTTTTTTCGTTGCGGCTTTCGTAGTTTTTTCGTACCTTCGAATCGAAGTCACCGTAGAAGTTTTTATTATGACAGGTTTGTCGGATACGTTAGAATTTGAATCTTTATCTGTAGATTTTGGTTCCGTATCTTCATCGTTAATATTTTCATTATTGACGTCATCATTTTTGTCAAAATTATCTTGATTAACATTAGATGATGACGATTCATCACCTAATTTTAAATCTTTTTCACCGGAATCTGTTATTTGTTTTTCATCAATATTATTTTCAGGACTTTCATTTAGTTTTTCCTCTTGATTTTCATTATTAGAAATGATTTCAGAATTTTCAACAACATGAGTTTTTATGTCAGAATGTGATTTTTCATCATTTTGATTTTCACGAGGTAAATCATCATCTGCAATTTTAGAAAATTCATTTTCCCTATTAATTAAAAAAACATTTATTTTATGATTTTCGTGATTTCCATTTGGATGTTTCAATTTTTCAGGACTTGATATTTTCCCATCGTTTTCCGAATAATTTTTTTTATTTATTTTAATTGAATTTATTGTTTCCGTATTATTTGAAATTTTTTTTGATTTTGACAAATTTTCGCCATTTTCTTCAATTTTTTTCCCAGTTGTAACGATGCCATCAAAAACCACATCCTTACTTCTTCCATTGTCTCTCACTGATCTAGCCAAACGAATTTTATCATTATTATCTTGTTGTTCAAAATCATTTTCGCTCTCGCTGCTATTCTTGTAATTTTCTTTTTCTAAAATTTGTTTTTCCCGTTTTTTTCTATGACGATACATTTTTTTCCTTTCAATATTATCCTCAGACTTGAAAAAAAAAAAAATTATTATTAAAATTTTTTTGATGTATCAATAAATAAAAAAAATAAAAGATTATTTTTTACTTACGCCATTATCAATATAATTTTTTTCGATAACTGTAAAAGAAGGGGATGATACATCTTCAATAATGTCGTAATTTTTATTTAACATGTTTTTTTTCGAAGTGTTAATCCTGGAAATAATTGAATTTTATTTAAAATAATTTACGCAATGTAGGAATCAGAATCATTGAATTATATATATAGTAAGCGTAGAAAATTAAATATATATCAAGCCCAAGCAAAAATTTACATAAAGTTGAAGTGAATTAACTAAATGCTGACAGAGAGAGAGAGATAGAGAGAGAGAGAGTGAAAAGTGCACTTCTTGTTTTTATTTTATCTGAAAAAATTATGAAATATTAATTTGTAAAATACCTCACGGTACGAATTGTATTTGCATCTGTATTTGACACCTTTGAAAATGGTACACCACCGTGTAGCTGAAGATATTTCCCACAACTTCGATGACCTTTACATAAAGCCACATTTAAGGGTGTCATTAAAACTCCTTTACTAGATCTCATTATAGGATTAACTAAAGAATTTGCATCGAGAAGAACCTAATGAAATTTTTATTCAACTGTTAATTAATTTAAAAAAAAAAAATTTTGCTATTACTGTCGAGTAAAAATTTACTTTTATCAATTCCAAATGATTATGCATGGCTGCAATATGCAAAGCGCATTTTCCATCATTATTTCCAATATTAACAGCTTCCGGATTTTGATCTAAAAGCCAAAAAACTAAATCTCTTCTTCCGGATGCAACGGCTTCGTGAAAAGGAAGATCGCCTTTAACATTTCTTAACCACAAGTTACCACCGTACTTTTTAAGAATTCTCAACGTTTCTAATTGTCCCTTTGATGCGCCACAATGAGCAGGCCTGATAATAAAAAATTATCTTTTTAAATAAAAACCAATCAAATTTTTTTTTACTTACTTGCTGGCATTCACCATCTTTTTATTTATAATAAATGGAATGAATTTTATTTACGTTCTTCCTTTTCTATCTTGTCTGTTTGGATCTGCTCCGAGCTTTAATAAAACTTCTGTTGAATCAGCATGGCCTAATGTGACCGCATAAAATAATGCCGAACAACCATTGCCATCGATCACGTCTACCTGAGATTCACTTAAACCGATAAGAGTTTCTATTGTCTCTGTGTGACCCCTGGATGCAGCGCAGTGAAGAGCTAAAAAATTATTTAATTTTACTTTAACAAACTTAGTGTTCAATAATTTTTTTTTCACAACTTATAAATAAATTCACCTGTGAGTCCATCTCTATCAGCTGCTTCTATTCTGGCACCGCTATTGATTAAATGAATAATAGCACTTGCACTACCTGAAAATATTAATTTTCTAATAATAATATTTAAAGTAGATAAATTAAAATTAAACCGATGAGATAATGATTTACCAGCGCTTGCAGCCCATAAAATTGGTTCTCGGCCATCTTTATCAACGACATTTATATCAACACCAAAACTTATAAGTATTTGAACGATTTTAACAGCATTATCTAATTTTTTTTTGTTTTCGCTATCCGGTCCACATAATTGAACAGCATAATGAATCGGATAACCGCCATGTTTATCAGGTATTGAGGGATCCGCTCCAGCTTCTAAAATTATTTCCAATGCTTCTTTTTCACTGGAAACTAAAAATTATACATTTTTTTTTTTACATGATTATAACATTTGAAAATTTTATTTGAAAAATTATTAAAAAAATAAAAATTTTGGGGCACCTACATAAACAAAAAAAATTCTTTTTTTTTTTTTTTTTTAAATCACTTAAACTCATTGAAAGTTTTTAACGATAAAATAATAATTATATTGTAAAACTAAAAATAAAATTTATGAAGGTTAAAAAAAAAATTTTTCTTTTTTTTTTTTCTCACCATAAATTAAAGAAAAACACGCATGAAAAGTCAGTCATTCGTTTTTTTTTTTTTTTTTCTGTGGTCATGTAAAGATATTGAAATTTTTTATTTATTAAATAAACCTTTCTTGTCATTATCGTTTTACTGCATTCAAAATAAAAAAAAAAAAAAAATTAAATGTAAATTATTAAATTGTTTAACAATTGGAAAAAGGATTTTTGCATGAAAGCCATTTGAAAATATGGGAGGCGGGGGGAGGGGGAGAAATTTACATGTAATTTTTTTTTTATTTCTTAAATATATTTGCATAAAAGTATTTTAAAAGCAACTTGACCTTTTTTTTTTTAAATAAGAAGTAGATGACCAACACGCAATAGGGTCTTTAATTACTCTTTCAAGGTTAAATTTTTACATATTTCAAAAACCGACAGAAATTCTATAAATAAATTTGATAAAAAAAAAAAAAGGGAAAAAAGTTTTTGCATTGATTTAAAATCAATCATCCGATCATCGATCGGATAAACTAATATTTTGTTAATTTAAAAAAATTTTAAATTAACAATTAATTAATTTTTTGGTTTTTTTTTTTTCCTCTCACCTACTGCCCAATGCACGGCCGAATGTCCTTCGTAATCCTGTAAATTAACTTTTGCTCCTTTTCGTAAAAGAAATTTAATAATTGCCCTGTTACCGGCTATAACTCCTAAATGAAGAGGACAGTAACCATTTTCATCTTGAGCGTTAACTAATTCTGGATATGCTTTTAAAACAGCATCGGCACAAGAAATATTTTTATTTTCCGCACAATAATGAAGTGGAGTCTTCAACGTTCTATCTCTTTCTTTAACTGAATCAGGCTGGAACAATATATTTTTTTTTTTTTATTCAGGTATGTACCCTTTTTCTCACTTCTTATTATTAACTTAATCATTTTGTAGTAAAAAATTTTATCAAATCAAATCAAAAAAAAAAAAAATTAATTAAATATATATATGTGATATAATTCAAAGACTTACAAATCTGGACAAAATATTTAAAACTTCTGATACTTGACATTGCTGACAAGCATACATAAGAGGTGTCGCTCCTCCAGTGGCTTGCATCTTTTTTTTTAAATCTGGAGAAAAAATAAATAAATAAAAAATTAATAAATAAAGAAATTTCCAGTTGATAAACTAATCAAAAAAAAAAAAATTTAATTATTAAATTTAATTAAAATTAATTAATTAAATTAATAAAAATAATAATAACTCGTAGAAAATTTATTTTCTATTAGCTAATTCAATTAATATAAAATTAAATTTTATTTAAACTCACCAAGGCGATTAAATAATTGCAACTGAAAAATATTCTGGCTGTCATCATTTTCCACAGTGAAAAATTCTATGGCAACCAAGGCTAAATCAAATTCTGAAGGACAATTAAAACCGAATACTAGGTTAGAAATATGAGAAATTTTTTTTTTTTTTTAAATAGAGTTTTTTTCAACTAATGAGTAAAAATAATGAGCCAACAATAAAAAAAAAATAATAATAATAAATCGACAATGTGATTCAATAATAATACATTGTAAAAATGTAAAATTTTCCATTTTAAATTTTATTTACCGATCTTTGAAATACATACGATGTATAAATATTCACTAAAATTAAAACAAAAAAAATAAATGTTTAAAAAGGAAAAAGTTTATACTAAGCATTACAATACTTTTGGTTTATTTGGTAAAAAATTAATGTTACTGGGTACAAGTACCGTTTTTTTATTCTTCAACTTCTTCCTCTTATTTTCATTCAAATTTTTTGTTAAAATTTTTTGAATATCTGACTGATGATAGTTTTCAGCTAAATCTATATCCTAAAAAAAATAATATTTTATAAACATAAAACACATTAATAAATCCTATGTAACAGAAAAGAAAAACTTTTTTTTTTTTTTTTTATAAAAAACAATAAATTACCTTTTGAGGAATAAAATAATTTAAAATTTTCAACATTATGCTGGTAAATGATATAACAAGGAGCCAAGCCAAAACCCCTGTTTTCAAATACGCCCTTAATTTTTCAGCTAATGTAAGGGTTGATTCTAAGGCTACCTTATTATAAATAAGAGTAGTTCTTTCAGCAATGTTTACCCAATTGTAAAGAGACTTTACTTTTTTATGACATTCAAACGGGTCCAAGACTAAACCTTTTTTGACACTTTCAATTGCTTTTTCCAGACCTACTATCAATGACTGGACATCTGGTTCGGTAAGAGAGATCAAATCAGATGGTAAAACTTCTGGTATACCACCAACATTAGTGCTAACTACCTAAAATTCAAAAAAGTATTGAAAATAAATTTTTTTTTGTTCTATTCTTCTTATTATAAATAAAAATTGAGTATAAAATACTTTACTTACTACAAGGCCACATGATGCCGCTTCTACAATGGCCATACAATATGCTTCTGTTAAAGAAGTGTTTAAGAATATTTGGCCTTTTATCAACACATTTCTAACTTCAGAGTGTTTCAAAGCTCCTAATAAAATTACACGATCTTGAAGTCCACGTTCTCTAAGTTCTTCTAACAATCCACGTTTAGGACCATCACCTCCAATCAGAAAATTTACATTGTTATATTTCTTGCAAATTTCTGGAATCACTCCAACAAGTAAATCCATTCCTTTTCTGTAAACTAATCTACTTATGACCACAATGGTGATTGTTTCATTATTTTTAACATCACAAGCTGTGTCTGGAGTAAACAAAAAAGCATCGACTGCATTTGGAATGACTGACACATTGTATGAATTGACACGAGCTCTCAAAACTGTATTTTCTTTTCCAATATGTGAAACACATATACAATGATTACAATTTGCCAAAGACAATTCTAAAAACTTATTTGTTATTACAGCAGATGTATCAGCAAAACCAAACAGAGAATGATCAGTAAAAACTGTCTTCAAATTTAATAGAGAAGCTATTATCATAGCTTCATGAGCCAAGGCACTAAAAGCTGAATGTCCATGCACAATAGTTGTTTGTTCTCGTATAAAAATATATCTAATTAATGGCAGTGAGCAAATAAGTGTAGGCAAGATGCACTGATTATAGAATGTTTGTATAGGAAGATAATACACTTTAAGACCAGAAGTCATGTATCGAATTCCAACTCTGTCGTTATATGAATGAGTTATAACAACTACTTTATGACCAGCCATAATTAAACATTGACACAAGTTGAAAATGTGCTCTTCTACTCCCCCTGTGTTGGGGTAAAAAAAATCTGACACCATGCTGGAAAAATTAGCAAACGAATAATTAATTTTTTTTGTGAGGTTATAATAAATATTTAGATAAGAATTAAAATCCTTTTTGAAATCAAAATAGAGTAATAAAATATATTTTTTTGTAAAAATACAAATGTAAAATTGTACATTATAAAAATTTGACAAACACTCACCATATATTATGAAACATTTGAAAATATTTAATAAAATAATAATTGCATTAATACATCAAATTAAAAAAATTTCTTTGGTATAAGAAAAAAAAAACAAATAAATGATCTAACAATAAACATTACAATATTTTTTAAAATATGAATTTCAGATACTTATTTTTAGCACTTTTAAAAAAGTAAAAATAATTTATAAACTTAAACATAATCTCGATTATAACCACTTAAATAAAAATAAAAAATAAAATTTAAATTCATTAAAAAATATATTAAATAATTTCATATAAAAAAAACTTTTTTTTAAAATTTTTGACTAGATAATTAGAAAAAATAAAATAAAATAAAATAAAAAGTTATATCATTTTTATGATTAATCATCGTTAAGTATCATCACGTATGAAATGTATACTTAATTTGTCATGTGGAGGGAATTTTACTTCGATTTCGCGGGTTTTTTTATTTTTTATTAAATTTCAAATAATTTTGGTTTATTTATTCTATGGAAAAATTTCTTTTCAAAATTCAATTATTTAACGGTTAAAAAAAAAGTTTCGGATTGTTTTATTCTTTTGAATTTCTATTGTTTAAAACACAACAATAAACATGTCCAGATAAATAATGAAATGTTTTTCTTTGACGTCAAAATTCTTTAATTAATAATAATGATAATAATAATAATAATACTCGTTCGTAAAAAAAAAAAAAAATTGGTTCTTCTGAAAACGAAAAAGTAATTAATTTTTTTTAAAATTTGTGAATTAAACATTTTTTAAATTAAAACTTCAATTAAAATAAAATATATTTATTAAATTAAATATTTTTAATAATAATAATAATAATAATGATAATATTTTAAAAATAATAAAAATGCCACAAGTGGTTGATGGACGTAGTAATTACATTAATTAAATCCGCGCCAAAAATTAATCTTTTTTTACTTAAAGAAAAAAATATTTTCATTGCTTTGAAGGTTTTTTTTTTTTTTAAAAAAACTTTGGGTTAAAAAAAAGAAATTTTAATATAATAATATTAATAATAACGTATAATATCATTGTATTTAAACATAATCAAGATATAAATATGTATTTATTTAATGTATAATTCATACAGTTTATCTAAACAAATTATTTTTTATTAAACTATTATTATTTTATGTAACACATTTTTTTTTTTTTGTAGTCGCGGAAATAGCATTGAGAAAAAAATATTAATTGTACTTATAAGATATTAATTAATCTAAGTATTTATTTATATATATATATATTTAAAAAAAAAAAAAATCAGTCGTGAATTGGAAGTTTTTCGTGTAAAAATTGTTTTGTTCCTCCTTCAGCAAAATCAGCAGCAACTTGTCCGGTACCATTTAATATCCATTTTGTAGTAAGTAAACCTTCTACACCAACAGGTCCTCGTGCATGAATTCTGGCTGTACTTATTCCAACTTCAGCACCTGAAATTAACGTTTAAATTGATGATAAAACGTGAGAATTATGAACGGTTTTTTACTGTATATTTTTACATACCTAAACCAAACCTATAACCATCGGAAAATCTTGTGCTTGCATTGTGAAAAACGCATGCGCTATCAACGGTACTTTGAAATTTTCTTGCTTTTTCTTCATTTTCAGTTACAATAACTTCCGTGTGACCACTTCCGTAAGTGTGAATGTGATCGACAGCATCTTCTAAACCTTTTACGACTTCTATACAACATTCTAAAGCACCATATTCGGTTCTAAGAGATTTTGCCGGTGGTGGTCCGAACGTTAAAAGTTTTGAAAGTTTTGGACCCGAATTTATTTTTACCTAAATTAAATAAATAATTTTGATAAGAGGAATATTTTCAAGCGGGGAAAGGGGGGTTAATAATTTTTAAATGAGTAACTTACTCCCTCTTTTTTCAACATTGTACATATGTCGGAAAATAAAGGTTGATTGATTAAGTCTTCGTGGATCAATAAGGTTTCCATGGCGTTGCAAGCAGCAGGATAATCACATTTTGAATCACGAACTAAAATCAAAAAAAAAAAAAAAATTATTATTATTCTTTCTCTTTTTTTTTGATTGATTGTGATGTATGGAATGTGAACTTTGATTTTACAGGAAAAAAAAAAACATGTCGTTATGTTTGACTTAATCGAATAATATTTACGGTGATGACGAACAGAATAAAACGTTTAATTATCATTAATATCGAAATATTTTAGCTAAAAAAATAAACGACAAGAAAATTTTTTAGTTTTACTTATATTATCATTCAACATTATTGAATTTTCTTTTTATTTTGCAAATAAATATAGGTTTGAATACAAATTCGAAAAGAAATTTGATGTAACACCCACACATAATTCAACCTACAAAATATATTTTGGCATTCCTTTTTATTGGAAAAAAAAAAAAAATTATTATTTATAAGTTATTGAAAATCAAACTTACTTATTCTTAAAGCAACTTGGGGATTACATTCCCGATCGACATAAACGTGACAAATTCCTTCGGCATGTCCTAAAACGGGTATATGTTGACTTTGATTTTGAATACTGCGTACAAGCTCACTTGATCCTCTAGGAATAATAAGATCAATATGATCTTCCATAGATAGTAAATCAGATATTTCTTCTCTCGTTGAAACCTAAAACAAAAAAAACACACGTACACTTGAAAAAAACTTCATTTTTTAAAAAATTTTATCAAATTCATTAGATAACTGACCAATGAAATGGCATTACTAGCTCCAAAAGGAGCCAATGCTTCTTTAACAATATCCATAAGGGCTTTGTTGCTATGAGAAGCTTCTCTTCCTCCTTTCAGTAACAAACCGTTGGCAGTACTTATCGCCAATGCAGCTACCTGTAACATTTTTTTTTTTTTAATTGAGTAAATATATTAATGTTGTTGCGTCGACATTATTATTTTCTTACTTGAGGTAATGCATCTGGTCTAGATTCAAAAATGACTAAAAGGACTCCAATAGGTACTGTGATTTGTGTTAAATCTAAATCTTCTGCGAGTCTTGTTCTTCTTATAACTCTGTTAACGTTGTTCAAACTGCTATCAGCTATCTGGTTAAGTCCTGGATAAAAAAAAAAAAAATATTGTAATACTTGAAAAGAACCTAAAAAAAACAGGTTGAGGAACTCACCGATCGACAGATTTTTAAGTTTAGAAGATGAAAGAGATAATCTTGAAAGAAGAGGTTTAGCTATATTTTCTCTTTTTGCTTCTTCTAAATCGCGAGCATTTGCTTCCAATATGAGAGATTGTTTGCTTATCAACATGTCGGCTAACATTCTTATACAAGAGGCTCGCTCGGTTGGAGTTAACGCTTGAAGCTGTCTACTACCACTTCTTGCTAATAAGATAAAATTAAATTTTAGTTTTTTAGTTATCTCTCAAAAAAATTTTTTTTGTTTACGTACCATTTTCTGCCATCATTTCAACGGAAAGTTGACCGGTTGGACCATCGGTAAAAAATGTACCGATCTTTCTTCCATCTAAAATTAATTTAATAGCCTTTTCTTGCATGCCATTGCATATGACCACAGACACTCCTCTATCAAGAGCCCATGTTGCTGCTTGTACCTGAAATAAATTTAATTTTTGTTTAAATAAAAAAAAATGGTGGTGAGATGAAAATATAAACAAAAAAAGATTTTTATTTTTTTTACCTTTGAATCCATACCTCCAGTTCCAACTTTTGATGTCATTCCAAATTGAATAGTTTCTCTCATTTCAGCATTGTAAGTATGAATAAGTCTGGCACCTTCTTGGGTCGGAGGTTTTGTATACATTCCATCAACATCGGACATAAGTATCAAAAGATCGGCTTGTATTTCTGCCGCTAACATTGCGGCTAAACTATCATTATCTTTTAAGCTGATTGCCTGCAGCATAAAATTATTAAAATAAAATAAAATGATGTCGAATCTTTTGTTAAGGTTTCAAATTAATAAATCTTAATGTAAAAAAAATTTAAATTTTTTTCGTAATCATTTACCTTTGAAACTAACTAAAAAAATGGTTTCGAAATATGAATATGAAAATGTAATACTTATTTTTTATAAATTACGTAATGAAAGCTTTTTGTGCTTTTCTCTATTTGACAATGAAATGAAATGAAATAAAAGCCTTGAACGGTCGTTTTGTTTTACTTACCGAAATAAAATAAAAAAAAAACAAATATTTTATTGTTTAAAAAACCATCTGGTTAGTGACGGACATCGATGACATGCTAAAAACATAATGGTTACCGACCTTTTTCCAACCTACCCCACGAATTTCGTCATCAACTTGAGGTGGTGGTGTCACTGCATCATTTGTATTTATTATAGGTACAATATTTTTACTGATCAATTCCGAAAGTGTACTAAATAAATTTCGTCTTGTTTCTTCGTTATAAAAATCTGGTTTCGTTACCAACACCTAAATATTAATTAATTAATTATTAATTAATTAAAATAAATATGATAAGTTTTTAATACTGATATTTTAACATGCCTGGGCAATTTTCACACCGTATTGTGAAAACATGGCATCATACAATGACATCAAACCGGATTGACCGACTGCAGCAGCTGCTCTAGGTTCTAATATATATTTTCCTTCCTGCAATGTAATAATTTATTATTATTATTATTATCATATATAATATGCGATGAACATTAACTCCAATTCTTCTAAAAAGACTACTTACATCTTTAATGTGATCTTTTGGAGATAAAGTTTCTCTCATACTTAGAGACATGACCAATTCTTGATTTAATTTTTGTTTTCCATATGCCACGGCTCCACTCGTCACCATAATGCATTCTCGACCCCCCATATGACTTTCGGCAACCTGTAAACACAATTAATTAATTAATCACATTCTTACTAAAAACGGGGAGGGGGGGGAAATTAAAATAATTTTACTTGTTCAACGATAGAAGCTAATCTTCCCAATGCGATTCCATGTTCATCTTCACGTGTTATGACAGCGCTCCCCAATTTAACGACTAATCTTTTCGCAAATTTAAGTTGACTTCTATCAGTGAATATACTTCTTTTTTTTTCTGCTATGTGCATCGCTCTTCTAAGTTCTCTATTCCAACTCTAAAATCCGGATTTAAAAAAAAATTTATAATTAATAATTAAAAAAAGGAAAAAAGGAGAAAAAATCATTAACGAGCATTAATTAATTAATTTTTTCCTTCTTATTTAATTTTATTGTTGACAATAATTAATTATCATTATTTATTAATAATAACGAACATTATTAATTTTTTTAAATAAAAAGTTTAGATGAAAAAAAAAAAAAAAAATTATTTACGGAATTCAGGAGTTTTTTTTTTTTGTTGTTGTTGATAAAATTAAAATCTGATGATGATGATGATGTGACCTTTGATCAATAATTGTTATTTTGTTTCAGGCCAAGGTTTTCTCATTTTGTCAATTATAACTTGACCTGACTCACATCGATTTCATTTATTTTTATTTATAAATTACCTTATTTATTTTTTTTTTTTAAATAAAAAATTTTATTTTAATATTAATACACGCTCGCAAAAGAAAAAAATTTATTATTATAAATAATTACTCACGTATTTTGTCATTAACAATTTCGTCTGCCAATTTTTAGGTACTGAATACATCGACCTCATAATTGGAAAACTGCAAACGTGTTTCGGAAAAGTTTTTATCACCGGAAAAGGTTTCTGGTAAATATATTTACTAGAAGATTTAAAAAGATTTGTAACCCTGTTGCAAAGGGCACAAGCTCTAAAACAAACAAACAAACAAAAAATATTTAAAAAAAAAAATTTTCTCTTTTAAAAAAAAAAAAACACATAAATTATTATTAATAAATTAATAAAATTATTTATTTATTTAAAAAAAATTGATGAAAATTAAAAATATGACGTTTTTTTATAGATAACGTTGACCTTTTTAAATGGTATCATTTCATGAAAAAAAAAATTTATTATTATTATTATTTTTAACATAAATTTTTTTTTTTAAAAATAGCAAATTGAAAATTCAACAAACGACAAACGTAAACGCGCACATACAAAAAAAAAAAAAACTCCAAGTCCATGAAATGATTATTATTATTTTTTGATATTAAATTAATTAATTTTATTTTATGACGTGTATATTTTCCGACAGCAGTTTAATTTTTTTTTTCAATATTAATAATAATTATCCTATGAATAAATATTATTTCGCGATGGAAAAAAAAATAAAAAATTAAAAAAAGACACCGAATAGGAAAATTTAAGCGTTAGAAAAATCAAAATCGAATTTAATACGGTTAAAATAAATATAGAAAAAGAAAAAAAAAATTTATTTATAAAAATCACATAAGATAGAAAAAGAAAGAAAAAGAAAAAACATACCTTTGGTCGTATATCATTTTTTTTTTTTTTAGTTTTTTGAAAAATGATAAGTGTTGTTGATTTGTACGGATCCGTTCGTACTGATGAACGAAGATCACGAATGATTTATGACAATTTTTTTTTTTTTTGTTATTAAAGAAAAAATAAATTTTTTTTTTTTTATAAAAAGGTTTAATTTAATGTTTATCATATGTGAAAAATATATATTTAAAAATTATTATTATTATTTATTTGATAAGAGATATCATAAGACCAACAAACTTAAATTATTGGTCAACTTTACTAATATTAATATTACAAAATCATTTTTATTTAATAAGAAATAAATAAATTTTTTGTAACAACCCAATCAACATAAGCTAAACATATATTTTTTAATAACGTCGTTGTTGTTGTTGTTGTTAAATTATAAAATTTTCATATTTGACCCCTTTCGAATAATAATAATAATGTATTTTTTGTATATTTATATTGTTCATTATTAATAATAATTATGAATTTGTTATAGAAATTCTTTAATAACGGTATCAACAAACAATAAAAATTCATTTCCTGGTATTTATTATTATTATCATCATGTGGAAATGTATGAAAATCGACATTTTTTTCTTTTTTTTCTGTTCACGGTCACATTAAATAAAAATTATCGTGATTTTTTTTTTTTCCGCACACACATATAAATTTTATTTAAGTTAAAATGATAATAAAATCTGGAATTCATAGTAAGAATATTAAGTCTGTTGTATAAATCAATTGTGTGTAGTCACACACACACACACACACAAGTAGAACCCGGTGCGATAATGATACTGATAATAATAATAATAATAATATCAAATGAAAGAAATATTATTTGAATAATGACTTTTTATTTTCACAAGTTTAATACATACTACTTTACAACAAAAGTTATTACAAAATTGTAATTTATTATTTAGCCGTCTACTACTTCGTCTTTTTTAGTGCTTTTAATATATATATATTTAAGTATTAAATTCTTAAACCTTTCATCATCCATTATTGTAAATTATACTAAAAAAAAATTAACTCGATATTTTTTTCGGGAGATTATATTAAATACATTTTTATTGCTTCACTTCCTAAAACCTTTCCGCTTTTTTTTTATTATGGGAAAATGTTTATGAAAAAAAAAAAAACGGTTGAATCGGTGACGATCAGACAATTCCTCAATGTTGCCAATTAAATTTTTTATTTTTAAATGTTGGTAAAAATGAGAATTTTACAAAAAAATGGAGAGAAAAAATTAAATAAATAAAAGGGTATGTTTTAGGTGGGAGGTTGTTTCCGAATCGAGCACTAAGCAGGACCGAAACCATCATCGGTTATGTAGAAAAAAGCTTCAAACTTCGACCAATGGAAATTTGATTTGCCTTTTAGAAAAAGAAGATTCAAAAAATTCATGTTTCTCAGAAACCTCATATTTATAACAAATTAGTATTATTCATTTGTTTTATTAAAAATATGACCGTAATAAATTGCAATTATTATTTTTATTATTAGGGTAATAGAATTGAAAAAGGATGAAAAGGTATAAAAAAAGGTTTGGAGGTTGGTAGGTTTAGAAAAATTGATTCAAGTATTTAAAATGCTAAAAATTCGATTTATTCAATGGGCCGCAAAAAAAAAGTAATAATAATTTTGAAAACAGTTAAAAATTCACATGGAATCACTCATACATTTTAGAAAACACAGCCGCATCCTCCAACAACACGGGTGACTGGAGAAACGACTGGGGTGGAAACAACTGGAGTAGCGCATCCGGTAGAGACGACTGGGGTAGCGCATCCGGTAGTGACGACTGGGGCGGCAGAAACCAAACCACCAGCACATCCGCATCCGGCGGCAAGGACTGGAGCTTCAACGGAAACTTGGGTTGGGGTAGCGACCAAAGATCCGGCACATCCGGCTCCCAAGAGACCGGTACCAGCGACGACTGGAGCAGCAGAGACCAATCCACCAGCACATCCACATCCGGCTCCCAAGAGACCGGCACCAGCGACGACTGGAGCAGCAGAGACTAATCCACCAGCACATCCACATCCAGCTCCCAAAAGACCGGCACCAGTGACGACTGGTTGTGGGCCAACAAAATTGAGGGCATTACCGACGACTGAAGTACCGCATGGGGTGGAGACGACTGGAGTAGCGCATCCGGTGGAGACGACTGGAGTAGCGCATCCGGTAGAAACGACTGGAGTAGCGCATCCGGTAGAAACGACTGGAGTAGCGCAACCGGTAGAGACGACTGGAGTAGCGCAACCGGTAGAGACGACTGGAGTGGAAACGACTGGAGCAGCAGAGACCAAACCACCAACGCATCCTCCGGCAAGCTAAGTAAAGCCGTAAAATAATTTTTAATTTATAAGAAGGATTTAGATAACCGAGTGAAAGAATTTCAAATCTACAACCAGGGAAGGAATCGTATCGAGAATTTTTTTGATTTTTTTTTTTTTACTTACTCCAACGTTAAGAAGTCCTCCGCATGGAGAGGCAAAAGCAACGGTGGTTGCAACAGCCAAGAAAGAAAGAACGTTAGCGATCATTTTGGTATTAGTCCCCAGTTGTTCCTTTGATGGAAAATGTACTGTGAATGCTTTTACCAATTATTTCACCTCCTTTTATACCAAATAAAATTAGCTAAGACTGCGGAAATTTATTAGCAAATATTAAATGGTACACAACAGATAATACACGTAAGCAAAATACTTTTTTTTTTTTTTTCATTACCTGATAAACATAACAATTTAACTCTTTTAATTAAGTCTAAGTCTTGAGTAGACGCAGTATTAAGCATAAAATATAATTTGATAATATGGATGATATGTTAAAATAACACGTACATTGTATTTCATACATTAGCGCATATACTGTTTTGATTGCTTTATCATTGTTTTTTCTTCATAACTTTACTTGTGTGTTATTTCTTACATGTATTTCTCTTTGTTTACATTTCACTAGCCTAAGCTGAAAATTCGGATATAAAAGGGCTCGCTAGCCAAAGAAGAGCATTCACAGTACATTTTCCATCAAAGGAACAACTGGGGACTAATACCAAAATGATCGCTAACGTTCTTTCTTTCTTGGCTGTTGCAACCACCGTTGCTTTTGCCTCTCCATGCGGAGGACTTCTTAACGTTGGAGTAAGTAGATTTGAAAATTCTTTCAGTCGACCGTGGGATGCAAACATTTCTAAATTAAAAATTATTTCACGAATTATAGCTTGCCGGAGGATGCGCTGGTGGCTTGGTCACTGCTGCTCCAGTCGTCTCTACCGGATGCGCTACCCCAGTCGTCTCTACCGGATGCGCTACCCCAGTCGTCTCTACCGGATGCGCTACTCCAGTCGTTTCCACCGGATGCGCTACTCCAGTCGTCTCCACCGGATGCGCTACTCCAGTCGTTTCTGGTGTCGTCGGAGGTGCTTGCGCAACTACCACTTTCGGACCAGCCGTTTTCCCAGCTGAAGCCCGTGCCTTCGGTTTCGTCGGACCACAACCAGTCGTTGCTGGTGCCGGTCTTTTGGGAGCTGGATGCGGATGTGCTGGTGGATTAGTCTCTGCTGCTCCAGTCGTCGCTGGTGCCGGTCTCTTGGGAGCCGGATGTGGATGTGCTGGTGGATTAGTCTCTGCTGCTCCAGTCGTCGCTGGTGCCGGTCTCTTGGGAGCCGGATGTGGATGTGCTGGTGGATTGGTCTCTGCTGCTCCAGTCGTCGCTGGTACCGGTCTCTTGGGAGCCGGATGTGCCGGATCTTTGGTCGCTACCCCAACCCAAGTTTCCGTTGAAGCTCCAGTCCTTGCCGCCGGATGCGGATGTGCTGGTGGTTTGGTTTCTGCCGCCCCAGTCGTCACTACCGGATGCGCTACCCCAGTCGTCTCTACCGGATGCGCTACTCCAGTTGTTTCCACCCCAGTCGTTTCTCCAGTCACCCGTGTTGTTGGAGGATGCGGCTGTGTTTTCTAAAATGTATGAGTGATTCCATGTGAATTTTTAACTGTTTTCAAAATTATTATTACTTTTTTTTTTGCGGCCCATTGAATAAATCGAATAATTAGCATTTTAAATACTTGACTCCATTTTTCTAAACCTTCTTCCAACCCTTTTTGTTATTTTTCTCTACCTTTCCATCCTTCTTGAATTCTTTCAACCTAATAATAATTGTTTTGTATATATAACGTTCGTTGATAACGTATGTTTTTTCTTTTAAAGAAACAATCGTGAATTTGTTTAAAAACAGAAAAAGGTGTAAATTTAAATTTTATTTATAAATATTACCATTCTTAACTTTATATATATTATCGAGAAAAATGTTTAATACAGACTGATGAATATTAATGATAAGATAATTTTACCACACATAGTATTTTGAATTTTCTTCGTCTTTTATTTAATTAACTCAATATTGTATTTTAATTGGGAAATATTTTAAGAATCACGTGATCAAAATTCTTTCATTATAATTACAGGAATTAAAATCCCGTAAAAATGAATATTACCTAAACTTAAACGATCAAACATCATTTTTTTTTTTTTTTAATATCAATTAATAAATAAATAAATAAATTTAAATCAAAATATCGTTTTCCTTTTTTTTGGGGAGGCGGGGAGGGAAAGAAGGAATAATAAAATCATTTTAAAAAATTTATTATTACATTTTCATAATTTATGTAAAGGACCAGAAATTTTAGTCGTAATAAATAATTGAAGATCTTAAATTTAAATTCCAATCCATTTCTCTTATTGATGACGTCTGCTGTAAAAGAGAAAAAAAAAAATGAGAACAAGACAAAGTAAGAACCAAAAACAAATCTTGTTCTACTGTCGACCTGAGGCAGCTCGACGAGAATGTGAATTTCACTGCTTCTGACCCTGGCCACTCCAAAGATGTTAGTCACTGGAGCCCAGTTCAGGAGACAAATCGTTCCCATCGAAAAAGACGGACTCAGGAAGACCTTCAAGAATTGATGTGGTGCTATCTTATAATAAGTGGCACCACCGAAATTCGAGTATTTGTCCCTAAGGAATCGGGTAGAAACCTCGGATAAATACTTAAAAACTCCGACAAGTAGCCTTGTCGTGTTTAATGGTGGATAATAATAATAATAGAGAGAGCATACGCAGGTGTTAAAACGATTGACAACAAAATTCTTATGTCAAATCGATTTGTTTTAATTAATTTTATTAGTTTTAATTTTAGTTATTAGTCATAAGTCACATGTCAAATTGTTCGTTATTTCATGTACCTTAAACTCACGTAATTTGTTTTTTTTTTAAACACTCTAAAATTGTTAAAAAAATTTAAATTTAAGCAATTGTAGAGATTTTTAACGATTTAAAAAAGAAAACGTTTGAAATTAAATTTTTTAAAAGGCACTATCTTGCGTTTGATTACAATGGACAAGTAGTTCTTCTTACAATTCAATTTTTACCGTTAGATCGAATTTTATAATATTATTATTATAATAATTTATTTATTTATTTTTTTAAAACTGTTTGGAAAAATAAATAAATAAATAAAATAGTAAATAGTAATTATGTTTATGTTGCGAAACATAATAATGTTTCATATAAATGACACGGTCTTTTTGTAAAAAAAAAAAAAAAAATATCGATCAAAATTTTAATTCGTGTCGATAAATCGTAAAAAAACAAACAAACAATGAAGCAAACGTTTGACGCCTAAATTTAATTGTTTTGATAATAATTTTAAGTTCATCGTTTTTAAATATTTTTAAACAATAATAATAATAATAATAAAAATAGAGAGAGCATGCGCAGGTGTTAAAACGATTGACAACAAAATCCTTATGTCAAATCGATTTGTTTTAATTAATTTTATTAGTTTTAATTTTAGTTATTAGTCATAAGTCACATGTCGAATTGTTCGTTATTTTATATACTTTAAACTCATGTAATTTGTTTTTTTTTAAAACCCTCTAAAATTGTTTAAAAAATTTAAATTTAAACAACCGTAGACATTTTTAACGATTTAAAAAAGAAAACGTTTGAAATTAAATTTTTTAAAAGGCACTATCTTGCGTTTGATTATAATGGATAAGTAGTTCTTCTTACGACTCGATTTTCGCCGTTGAAAATAAAAGTCGAGTTTAACTATTGAAAAAAAAAATGTCGTACATTGAAAATTTTAACAAACACACAAAATTTGATAGAAGGACAGCTGATATGCTGGGTATGCTGATTTTATCAATTTGTACGTAAATTTTAATGATAAGGACAGTTCAATGTATCAGCTACGTACTATAATGGCAACTCGTGATTGTTATGATTTTTACCTGATCAAATATTTTCAACCTTTGATAATAACAATAGTGAGAAATAATGGGAAGGGGGGAGGGAAAGAAGAAATAAATATTATTATTATTTTTTAAATTATAAGAAATCTGTTTTATCATGTTGGCTACAATGAGTGGGGACTTCAACAACGCCATCTATAAGAGAAATTATAAATTTTCAATTTATTACAAAATCATCATTAATTAATTAATTAATAATTTTTTTTTGGGGGGAAGAGGGGTGGAGGAGGAGGGGGAGTTTTCATTTTCTTATCATTACAAAAAAATTGACATTGTATACAAAATTTGTATGCAATCTTTATCTATTTTTGTTGTTGTTGTTGTTGTTGACCGATTAATATCAGTTATGTGTTTAACATTAATTGAGTAATTATGTTTTTTTTTTTTTTTTGAAACATAACAATTGTTAAAAACACAAGATATACGAATTGTACAAAACATAATTTTTTCTTTCAAGGTTATGTTTGTTTGTTTGTTATGTTTTAATTCTTTGCAAAATAAAAAAATGTTTATTGTTTTTCTTTTTTTTTTTTTTTTAAATGCTCTTTAATTTATTAAGATTGATGTGGGATGAATTCGTAGTTTAACATAAAATAATTTTTAATTGTTATTAATAAGTAAAGTAATTAAAATAAATAAATAAATAAAGATTTATTAAGTTTTTTTGTTAACCTCATATCAGGTTCAACATGACCTTTTTATTTTGCTGACAATTAATAAACAAATACTTTATGTTACGTGATTATTAATTGTTTATGTTTAAGTCAAATTTTATTTTTATATCATTTTATTATTATTATTATTATTATTATTATTATTATTATTATTATTATTATTATTTATTTATTTGAAAAAAAATTGATGTTATGTATAAATTTTTTTTTTTTTTAATATATATATATATATATATATATATATTATTTTTTAAATGTAATAAATAACTTAAATAAATAAAATTGAATTTATGCAACATAACAAACAACAACAACAGCAACAACAGCAAGACCCATAACGATTTGTGTAATGGGTACAACAATATAAATAATTATTAACGTTTTTTTTTTTTGTTGTCTGTTTTTTTTTAAAAAAAAGTGTGAAAGTTTTTTTATACGGCAAAAAAAAAAGGGTGAAAAAGAAAAATCAAGAACCCAAAAGAGTTAAAAAAAAAAAAAAAAAAAAAAAAAAAACTTTTGAAAAATGCGTTAAACATTACAGGAAAGGGAGGAAAAAAAAGAAAGTAAAGAAAGAGGAGAAAAAAAAAGAAAAACTGAAAAGCTCTGAACGGCTCCCGTTTAGTCGTTCAGGGTGTTCGGGTGGAGCAAAATCGGCGTTTACCCGACAAAAGTTTTTATTTTTTTTTATTTTTTTATTTCATTCATCGGATGAAATAAAAGTTTTTCAAAATTTTTTTTTTTACGATGGTGTGTCGTCACCATTATTATTATTAATAATTTTAAATTAAATTAATTTATTATTATTATTTCTGATAAGTTTTAATAATAAACTTTTTTTCGTGATTTTAAAATATTAAATAAACATTTTAAAAAAAAATTTAAAAGTAATATAACATCGATAAAAAAAATTAAATAAATAATAATAATAATTATTATTATTATTATTTAAATAAATAAATCCGCCGTGACGCCATTAAAAAAAAATTTAAAAGGTAATGTATGCGATAATAAAAATTATTACTTTTTAATCTATTATCATTTTTATTATTATTATTAATAATTTTCATTTCCGGTTTTTTTTCTTAAAACGTTATATATATAATTTTCCGAATACAAACTTAATAATAATAATAATGATAATGATACTATTTTTTTTAAAAAATAAGTTAAGGATAATTTTTATTAAATAAGTAAAAAAAAAAATTAATTAATTAATTATTTTTAATAACGATAATTTTTTTTATTAATCGAACACGCACACACGCACCCACGCACACATAGTAATAATAATAATAATGATAAACTAAAGAGTAAATAATAAAATAAATAATATTATTAATATAAATGTATGTAAATAAATTTAAATGTAATCAATATTGCAATTTAAAATTCGTGTTGCGCAAGTTGTAAATTTTCTTTTTTTTTTTCCCTTTTAAATGCATTTGATAAGAGACTGATTGATTGATAATATATATAAATTGACAATATCGATAAATTATTATCATCATCATTATTATTGTTATTGTTATTATTATTATTATTATTATTATTATTATTATTATTATTATTATTATTGTAAGAAATCCTTGTAATTAATATCAATTTGTTTTCGTTATCGTAATTATTAATATTATTTATTTTTTCTTTTTCTTTTATACGGGGATTTTTTATTTTTTTTCCTTTTTATTTATTTATTTATTAATTATTATTATTCAATAATTTATTTATTTATTTATTTTCTTTTTAATTTACATTAAACAATTTTAACTCTTAATTTATTGACAGACATTTTTATTGTTGTTGTTGTTTGTTTGTTTGTTTGTTTTTTTCCCTGGTTAAAATAACAAAAAATAAATAAATTAAAGTGAGTTACTTGTATTTATATTTTTAAAAATTAATAATTATTAATTATATGATTGCAGTATTAAAAGACATAAAAATTTATTT